ATATCCCCTCTCCTTCGGAGCGTGGGGTATAATAAAGATCAACAGAGAAACGAAACAAGAGGAAAATGATTTATGCTTAGTATGCATATTTTGCCAAATATTAAACTTGATACAAAGAATGGTAGGTAGAGAAACGTTCATAATTTAAAATTTGAAGATAACGAACAGTGATTAATCTCATATATCCAATAAACCAAACGAATCGTGGACAGGGTAAAACACGGACCCTTGGAAAACTAGAGGTGGGATCATAAGAGATGGCGATTTGTTACTTTGAAAAAAGAAAGCAAAATTCTCTCTTGGCGAAAATGAAAATAAAAGTATTAAGATTCGATTAACCTCCTATTGTCACAAACTCTTAATTTGGAGAGAAAAAAAAATGAGCCCCTCATAACTGAAGGAGCTTACATATTTACTAAGTCCTATAATAGCTGGCATACAGGAAGTCGATGTAGAATTACATGTAATATATTTCCCCAAAATAAAATATGACACTCTAACAGCAACGCTATGACATGAAGGATATATCAGTTTCTCTATCCAGCCACTAAATCGATTCATGGAAACTAATTTACTCACAACACTGCAAGACAACCATGTCTATAACAACTATACTAGCACTGAATTTACGATTCCAATTTGTTCTAAATGAATAGATTCATTGCTTTCACGTCTTGGGCATCTTTTCAAAACCAGCGATTATGAAAAGAAAGGAAATGGGTTTTTTTGGTTCAAGAAGGCCATAAAGTGATTACTAACCTTATCAAAAAAGTATACAGCTAAGATTATGATAAATGCACTATCCATAAAAGTTGCTTAGAACACAGAGTAGATCTTATAATCGTTTTTCTTAATAGACTCGCATTAAATGTTTTTGACATATATTCACTTTGCATTGTTGGGAGAATTGTAAATGTAATCGTAAAATGTCCAATTAACATCTAGAGTTAATATTCGACACTATATAAAGTTAATCGTTATAAAGCCCCTTTTGCAAGCTTTGATGGTAAGAGTTTTGGGACTTACATTTGATACTTATTTTCCAATATCTTACGAATTACAAATACTCGCATAAATAGTAAATTACCGGTATCCCCCAAAATGTTCAAAACATATTAAATGAAAGCTGCAAATACATGTAAGTGTATACTAACTCAAAGAGCTTCAACAAAACAGTAACTCCTCATTAGAAAAAATAGTTTCTATTACAATTATATAACAAATTATGTTTCAACAAGACAGCAACTATCCATTAAAAAATTACCGTATCTACACTATATACAAAATAGGTTTCATAAATATGAATTTTACATTTGTAAAATTGTGCAAATATTAGTAACAACAATAATGCATTTGTGAATGAATTTTCAAATAAAAAGCTTTGAAAATGGAAATATGATCTGGCTATTGGTGTGGCTGTATGCCAAAAAGAAAGGTCAGTGGCGATCTGCAAACTCATTGCAAGATGCAAAAACAGGAGTATAGCATAGGTTTTATGATTGATGACGATATAATAGAATTATATAAAAAGCAATCAGCTATACAATGCTAGGTTAAGCTGTTTTGCTTTATTTTGAAGCTACACATACTTTATTATTCTGCGCACAACTCTCTCACCATTATATAGTCCTAGTGACTACGGAAATATTTTGTTGTAAAGATAGTTTTCCTTTTAATTTTATTTTTTTTAAAAAGTGACATCCCATTACTCGCAAATTTGAATTTTTTCTGTTCTTTGTTTAATGTTTTACAACATTTTTTGTATAATTTGGTTATCTTTCACTGACATTATATATATTCTATGAAGTAGGAACTGGAATAAACATTTTATGCCTTGAGGAAGTTATTATAGAGTTTGTAGATTTACACAGAACACTAAAACAAGGGGGGGGGGTCACAAAGCAAAGCAAGATAAAATTAGACCTGCCATTTTCCGGTCATTTGAGGCCACATATTTTGTTACAGAACTTGGTTCAAAATAATTGATTCAAAATTTAAAGTAGATTATGAGAAATAAGAAATGTTTTGTTACTAGTATATAAGCATATCCCTAAGCAGCGACGTTGAAAATTGTTGCAAACACTCATCTTCGACATACACTGTACCTGCACCCTTCTTAGTAGTTTATGATTTGAAATTTTAGTAAGTCTGCCAGGCTTTTCAATCAGTCAAAATATAATATTGTGACAGCATACAACTTATTATAGCTTTTATTTTTATCATTAAGGTTTTCTGTGAGGTATGGCGTATTTGATAGGTTAGTGCATGTATCAGAAGTTAAAAAGGGGATGTGATAAAGGCCACATTTTCCTAATTTTCAACAGTTTAGGATAATCATTAACATTAAATTCAGACAACCAGCCAATTCCTTTTTCCCGGAAAGTGCCTTAAACAGAAGAGGACAATAGTTTTTCATAGTTGTTATGAAATGGGAACTCTATAATTATATAAAACTAACATGGAAATCTTTCCTTGCTTTAGAAAAAAAAAACTATTTCGCGGATAAGAATTATATTCTGATATTACAAGCAATCAGCGATGAATACATGATAAATTCTAGAGTGAAAATAGAAAAGATTCTAGTTAAACATGTATAATAAAAAAGATTCAAGATGAATAATGCATAAAAATTGTGGGGAAAGCATGCAATAGTTACAGATGGTGTCTTACTGAATAACATAACTTACAGAGCCTCACATCCTGAAAAAATAATAATGTTTTAATTTCACATGTATTCTAGTATGTTTATTTGATAGTGTTTTATTTAAAATGGATATCGGATATTGTAAAGAAAATATACATGAAATGTTAATCTTCTGGGGGTATGAATTTATAGAGCTTCATACCCGCTCTACCTATATAGATCCATGGCATAAATAAATAAGGTTTTTGTTTTGCCATTTAAGAAATATTTTATTTACTGTGCAAAACAAGAAGATCACTTAATTCACTTCTTTTTTCATAAATGAAAATATGTAATTATGGTCAATTAACTCTGGAAAGTCTTGTTACAATTATCTAAAATGCTAAAATCAAATCCCTGTATATATTGCTGTTAAAAACAGACACTTGACGTTTTAAACACAATTCTTCATAAATAAGAAGAAACACATAAAAACCCGTACGTAAGCGTTTGCCTCTAAATGTGTGGATTTTCCCTTTGTATCTGAGTAACTAGTTAAGAAACCACAAAAGTTATTTCATATTTTACATAACTATACAGATATCAAATTAAGCATTAAATGGTTAAGTGAGTATGTTTCCTATATGGGCCTCTTATGTTAATATTTCATTTCATAACTTCATTACCAGTCTGAATTTAAAAATTAGCTAAGTCATAAATGCTGTTGAAATAGGAGTTTTGAAAAGAAAAAAATGTGTAGGAGAGTTTTAAATTGTCGATCATCAATTGGTCTCTTAATTGGACAAAAATTTAAAAAATCCAAAACCTTATTACACATCTACAGAACACCACCAATCTAATTTGGCTACTGCATAAAACGTAAGAAGAATTCTGTTGACATGTTTTACGGGAAATTTTAATTTATTGGCATTGATTGCTCTCATTTATTGGGACCATATATTGGCCCCCTAATGGCCTCCCTATGAAAATCCCAAAACTGTACTGCACATCTACATAATACCACCAATAATGCTCGAAATGATGATTTGTCTACAGCTTAAAATGCAATAGGAGTTTCTTGGAACCAGGTTTTGGTATAGCAAAACCCCAATTAGACCCCAGGGTGAAATTGGAAATTCTGAAACAATAATGCTAATTTAATTTACAGGACATCACAAATCATATTCCTAAAGATGATTTACTTCTCCGCCGAAAATCCCCCCACCCAAAAAAAAAGTAAGGTTCATGATATCAGTATGACTTTTATACTTCATGACAAGTGTTTTAACATGCTTATTATCAAAGTCGGACATCTTATGGTTTAAAGGATACAGACGAAACTGATTCTTGGAAATGCCAAAGGTCAAATATTTTAGGCCTAATTATTGAATGTCTATTGGCAAGCAATAAACAAATAAATATAAACGTCACGACTTTTATTATTCCAACAATGAAAGATGAATTGATTCTAGAAAATTGTTTCAAATGATATACTATGCTGTGACAGACGTACAGACAAATGCTGGGCAAACTGATCCTTTGGTGTTTTTCTGCTTTACAGTGACACAATAAACAGGTCATGATGGTCTTAGTTACAAGTAAATAAGGTGAAAAAGACTGTTTCTAAAATCGTTACTTAAAAATAGTTCAACATAAGCCTCTTTAAAAAATATATATCTATAACAAGCTCCTGAACGTATAAATTCACCAATACTTGAGATAAAACCTCTTCAAAATTATGTGTCATGTTTGTGGAAAGATATGTTTTCTTGTAGTTTATGGAAAAGTTGAATGTCCGCAAGGTGTATCTGTTATATTTCATTTACTCTTTTACATTTCGAAATATTCCTTTCCCTCAATTTAAATAGATTACCAACAGGAGACTAGAGATTTTAGCATTGAATAAAGGAATATTAGTAAACACGTACCAGCATTACAGATGAGTAATGTAAGCTAAATAAGATATAAAATTAAAAGTATAGCTGTGGTAGGATGAATATAATGGGAAAGCTCATAACTTGCGGCAATAAAAATGTCAATATATTAATCTTTAATTAAAGATATGTATTCTAACTCCAGCTGAACGGAGGTTGTGTTTCTTATTGCTCTATACAGCAGGTGTGGATTTTTCTATTAGTAAACTAAACATTGTTTTTTAAAAAAAAATGTTTAAACAGAGTCTATATATGGTGTTTCATTTACTTAATGCAACATTGCATTCATTTTTAACAAAGTGCTGTTTACATATACAATTAATGGCTTTTCTTTCAAAAATAACTATTGTATCTGTAATCCTTTCAAGGTTATGAACCAAAACGTGATACATTGCAAGAAGAATGAAATGGAGATCGCACCCTCATCCAGGATATAAGCTTACCTTTGAGACTGTCCTCAGCTCCAAGTTGGCACTGTTAGAACCTTGTTGAAAACCCAGTGATCCAGAAGAAAACATGACGAAAACTGTTTCTGGGGTACTCAAGTTCGTATTACACCCAACCAGTTCACAGGCACCTGTGCCACGTTAACGCTGATGTCTTCTAATGTGACAAAATTGTGTCAGTGTGTGTAAATTAGTAGAGGGTTCATTGAGAGAGACTTTCTCACTCATTGTTGGTCTTTAAAATTGTTTGGTCATTTTAAAGGGCCCGGTTGTGTACAATTATGCTATATTCTATATTATATTAAAAGGATAAAAACTTTGACATTCTTCAGTTCGTCTGCTACTTTTAACAATACTGTTGTCTTTAGATATTAAAATCTACTTGTCATTATGTGCAATTGCACAAAAGTCTTGAACAATGAGGTGTCTGATATCATTTTTACAAATTGTCACGAAAAGCTAACACTATTTTAATAATGAACATCGTTTTTAAACATTTTCTGTATTTTGAAATTTCTTTTTTTCTCCTACATTTCGAAATAGGTACGTATTCCTTTGTGTTCAAATGAGAAGTGAATATATATCTATTTAAAGTAGCCACCCTCTATTACAAATGTCAGTAAAACCTTAGCAAAATAAACAAGTTGAAATGAAAAGAAAGAGCTGGGAGTCACTTTATTTAGTCGTGACTGATTTTTTTTCTCTCGTTTAAATCAAAGAGGATATCTCTGTCTTTTGTGACCTCTAGTTTAACGTTGATTTCTATAGATTATCTTAAAAAGCAAGATAAACTTAACAATATACGTAAACTGCATTTTTAAGCAGCATGTCAAAATAGTTCAGTTGTATGTTAAATATAAGTTCCATGATACCAAATAACCTATACACAAATACTATTTGTTAACTATAGTAACTATATAGTATCAAAGTTTTTACTATAGTTAATTAAAGTATTTTACCATGGATTTCAGATTGATATATTTTATGTTCTCCAATTCATATATTATACTTTTATATTCACATATTATTTTGAAATTTTGCATCATTGATATTGAATTCAAGAGATTTTAAACTTCGGAGTTTCAAAAAAACAGTACTTAAGTAAAGTTTTATAGTAAACTAAAGTATCAAAGTTTTTACTATAGTTAACTATGGTAATTTTTTGCTAGGGAATCTTGAATGTTTATCTTCATTGTTACACTTTACAAATAAAACATGAAATCTGCGTGCAATTTGTTTTTTTATTATCAATTTATAATGCAATGTTTCATGTACACATATAATAATTTTGCACGTCAAATTAAATATTTTGCGTTATACTAGTAGAATATACAAATAGGATCTCCCATGGTGTGTGGTTGGATATGGTTTTTTTATCCAACGATTGTGTGTTTTTATTCCCGAGCCTTGGCGAGGGGATAAAACATCAATACGAGATGGATAATAGCTAGGTAGTTATTTAGTATTTATTTATTTATTAACACAAACCGTAGAAAAATAAATTTGCATCTAGGGGAAGAAATTGATATACCAATACAATACAGTTATCTTGTTTCCATTTACATGTAACAGATAATGATATAGAGCATTCCATAAATAACAAATAACAAATGCATAATAGTAATTGTCAATTAATGGAATAATAATTTCATTCGTTTTGTAAATCTTTTTTTTAATTTTCGTCTTTCTTACTTACTTAGTCCTCTTTGCAAGGAGTATGCAAGGGCTTTTCCGAGGACTAGCATCTCTGTCTGTCAGCTTACATACATGTTTTCAGTACTATTTCCAAGTCCAACCCTGGTTCTTCATATACATGTAGCTCCTTTTCAAGGAGAAAAGGCTTCTATGATCGCCTTCTGTTTTTTTCCCTGGTGTATTCCTTATGTATTTCCGATCTTTCTATTCTTAAAAAGTGACCATTTCCATCTCCTTTCTTTAAACTGGTCTGGTATAGATACTTTTGATATTCTTCTGTCTGAACATTACATGTAAATAACGTTAATAAGCTGCAAACAAGAAAGTACAAAGCATAGTAAAGATGAATGATAAGTAATCAGAAAATAGCACAGTTAGTCATTTAAGCTAGTAAAGATAATTATCACAAGCTTTTTCTTTTACGCAATATTTAATTTTTTGCATAAAATTCAATATATCTAAATTCAAATCTTTAATTTATGACATTATGACAAGTAACTTGAATTAGTGTAAAAACACACACACACCCTCACACACAAACACACACTGTTTTACAATGCAATAGTTAGCATCTCCCACACTCTGCAATATGTTGCCAAATTCATTGATTCTAATTTTACATACAAGTGTGTAAATCATTAGTAACGAACTGTTACTAAAAATAAGGTATGAGTATTTTTATAGTTACTTCACAGATGTTCGGACAGAAACATTGATTCATGGTGCATAGAAATCAATGCATCATTTTTCATGGATTAATCTCAATATTTCAATATCTTGCGAAGTACCTATGAAATTCAAGTATGGTACAATTCTATACATTTATACCAGAATTAATTTTGCTTCATTATGTTCAGTATAAAGTGCGCGCGCATGTGTTAAGCTGCGTCTCCATGCAATCAGTAATTCTTTCTTTTTATGTGTATGGATGACTTTAATCTAGTGATATGGTAAAAAATTAAAAATTAATAAAAAACAACAACAACAACAACAAATAAATAACAGTCCTTATCATACAACAAGTATAGTCCATAGGCCACAACGCTCACCCGAGTCACTTTTGACCTCTAGCTGTTCTTCATCAGCAGAATTTTCTTTTTTTTAATTTCCATTTTTATTCATGAAAATTTAAAAAAAAAATTCTTTGTTGTGTGGATTCATTCCCTTGGGGCTAGATTTCGGTCCACAATATAGCGACCGAAATCTAGCCCCAAGGGAATGAATCCACACAACATTTGGATGCTTCAATATCAATACAATCAACATGGTCCTGCTGTTCTGTAGAAGATTTTTTCCCACACATGCATTATTTAATAAATACCGATTACATATTTTCTAACCAATTACCATTGTTTTGAACGAGTAACCGGTTACAAACTGCCATCCCTAATTTGAACCTTTTTTTTCAAGTTCAAGTTCTTTATTTCTTTGCGTCATAAGACACATCAGATTACACATATTAATAACTAAACATATATACAATATTATAAAATATAACAATATGAGAGTGAGCATAATCAATAAATAGCAAGTAGCTATGTAGGACGTGTTTTCTAAAAGGCAACTGTAATTATAAAACACGAAAAATTTACAAATGTTTCATTCTTCTAATGGAAGCTTGATATAAATATTTTCCAAGATTATAAAGTTCCTTTATATTTTGTACACTTAGAAGTTGAATTAATTTCCAAACACTGGATTTCTTATAATAATACTTTTTCAAATACTTAGATCTAAGGTCATGATAAAAAGGACATTGTAAAATAAAATGAAATTCGTCTTCGATAACATTCAAAGAGCACATTTTACATAATCTGGTTTTTTTTTTCTAATTTCATTAACATATCTACCAGTTTCAACATTTAGATTATGGGCATATAGTCTAATTCTAGGAATTTGTATTTTTTACATATAATTAATAGGTTTACGCAAGTTATATTGTATAGCAAAATTATCAACCAAATGTTGGTATAGCGGGCTACGTGCATTATTATAAATATTAGAAATCATAGTATGGTTATTCACCTCAAGGAATCTTTGTTTTACTAACATATAAGTATTATCATTAAAATCTGCATCAAATATATAGCCAAGTCCCAGTTTATTGAGTTCATTTTAATATCTCTGGTCCAAATATCAATATTCTTTAATCTTTCTTCCAAGCATGATTTTAGTAGTATATTTTGTGTCCCCTTTAGTTTCAAAAAATATTTTATAATTTTCAACTTTCTGGATTCCCTCATAGGCATTCTTCCAAGTTCGAAATACACAAGATTGTTACAGGCACTTTTTTTTAACGAAGTAACTTTTTACAAAAGAGACTTTGTTTTTTTTTCTACATCCTGGAGCTTTATGAAATCCCATAACCTCTGCTCCATAATTTAGAATACTACAGACATAAATTTCAAAAAGTGATATTTGGGTTTCGACATTAAATTCAAAGTTGCATAATTTTTTGTTCAACGCATAAAATGCTTTTCTTCCCTGTTCAGCTACGTGCTTTTGGGTTATATTAAATTTACCATTATAATTGAAACACATTCCTAAATAACTGAATCTATCTACTATTTCAAGTTCTTTTCCATTTGTCTTCATTTCGTAAACTTCTACCATTTCTAAAAACTAAAATGTTGGTTTATCTGTATTAACTTCAAGACCCCATTTCTTATTATAAGTACTTAATTCATTCAATAATGTTTGAAGTGGCATTGGCGAGTCTGCAATAAGAACCCTATCATCTGCATACATCAATAAAAAAAAATGGAAATTAACTGCAGTTCTACATAAGGACAATTGTTTTCTAAAAAATGCATCTCACAATCATTAACATATATAATGAAAACAACAGAGGTGATAAAACCTCACCCTGTAGTAAGCCCACATTATTTTCAAAATACTCCGACATCCTACCATTGAACTTCACACATGATTTCACACTAGCATATAGTGATTTAATAATATTGAACATTTTACCTGTTATACCTTGTTTAACTAATTTACACCACATTTTAGCTCTATCAATTAGATCAAATGCTTTTCGATAATCTATAAAACAGCAATATAGTCGGCCACCCTTTTTCTGCAAAAATTTATTAACTAATGTTTGTAGTACATATATTGCATCAACCGTACTATTTCCAGGTTTAAAGCCAAACTGCGCGTCTGTAATGACATTATTCAAACTATCCCATTCTAGCAGCCTAGCATTTAGAATGGAAGTGAATAGCTTACCTAAACAACTAATTAAAGTAATGCCTCTATAATTATTTGCATCATTACGATCACCCTTTTAAAAAACTGGTATTATACAACCCTTAGACCATTCACTAGGAAAAAACCCTGATTTAAATATTGAGTTGAACAATTTTGTTATGATGGGTAATAATGAATTTTTACATTCTATCA